CCCCGCGCGCTGCAGCTCGTGCTCTCCCCCGACCCCGGCGGCCAGTGGCGGGTGCAGAGCGTCCCCGCGGGGCCCAATACCTTCGAGAGCCGGTGAGGCCGCGGCCCCGCGCGTCCCCGCGCGTCCCTGGACATCCCTGTGTGTCCCCAAACATCCCTGCATGTCCCTGAACGTCCCCAAATGTCCCTGCGCATCCCCGGACATCACCGTGCATCCCTGGACGTCCCCGCGCATCCCCGGACATGCCCGTGCATCCCCAAACATCCCTGAATGTCCCCAAATGTCCTTGCACATCCCCGGACATCCCTGTGCGTCCCCAAACATCCCTGCATGTCCCTGCACGTCCCCAAACATCCCCAAATGTCCGTGTGTGTCCCTGGACATCCCCGTGCGTCCCTGAACGTCTCCGCGCATCCCTGAATGTCCCCGCGCATCCCCAGACATCCTCGTGCATCCCCAAACATCCCTGAATGTCCCCAAATGTCCCTGCACATCCCCGGACATCCCTGTGTGTCCCCAAACATCCCTGCATGTCCCTGCACGTCCCCAGAGATCCCTGTGTGTCCTCGCATGTCCCCAAACATCCCCAAATGTCCGTGTGCGTCCCTGGACATCCCCGTGCGTCCCTGAATGTCCCCATGCATCCCCAGACGTCCCCGTGTGTCCCCAAATGTCCGTGTGCGTCCCTGGACATCCCTGTGCGTCCCTGAATGTCCTCACAGGTCCCCAGACATCCCCGTGTGTCCCCAAATGTCCCTGTGTGTCCCTGGACGTCCCTGTGCATCCCTGAATGTCCCCACAGGTCCCCAGACATCCCCGTGTGTCCCCAAATGTCCCCGTGCATCCCTGGACATCCCTGAACATCCCTGCATGTCCCTGCACAATCCCAAATGTCCCCGAACATCCCCAGACGTCATCATGCGTCCCTGAACGTCCGTGCCTGTCCCTGCACATCCCCAGACATCCCCACGTGTCCCCGAACGTCCCCAAATGTCCCCGCGCGCCCCGGCGGCTCCTGACGCGTCCCCTCGTGTCCCGCAGGCTCCCGCTGCCGGAGCCGT